TCTACTAGTTATATTATATACCAACATATATATATATATTCCCTGTGACACGACTCAACAATTATATTATATACCAACATATATATATATATATATATATATATATTTCCTGCGACACGACTCTACTAGTTATATTATATACCAACATGAATATATATATATATATATATGTATAATAATTATTAATTGCTACTCCCTTCCCCTCAATGGCTCAATGGAAAGCTTGAGAATTTATAACGCTTAAATTCAGGGCTCTATTCATGCGTTGGGCATCATACAGAAAGCCCATTGTGCAGCTTTGTGCTAAACAACAAAGTACTGTTATTGTCATAATAAGAAAAAAAAACTATAAATATTTTTGTTTTGCTTTCTGTGTGAAAAAAATAAAAATTCTCACGCGCCAAAGTAATCTTTATAGATGCCTAATGATTTTTTTTCCGTCTGTAAGTAATGTTTTCATGATTTATACATTTTATTTTATGTACGAAGTTGAACAATAATACATTACTCTTAAGAAGCAGCAATTCAAATTCTATTCTGGCTGTAGGTGCTGTCCTGGCTGACGGACAACTTACTGTTGATCCTCACGATATTTGGTGTTCTACTCGGTATCCTAATTGGCTTCCTGGCTCGGTTCGCTGACTATGGCGAGGACGCTATCATGCTGGTCTCGTTTCCCGGAGATATTCTGATGAGGATGTTGAAAATGCTAATCCTTCCGCTCATCATCTCGTCCATGATATCGGGTAATGTAATAATAATCCTATTTAGGTTTAACGACAGACATAGAAATCTTAAATATCCAATGTTCTCTAAAACGTTAATAAGGTTATTAAATTGTCTTTATCTTAAGGACTTTCACTTTAAAACAAAACTGTTTGCGTTCCAGACTTTAATACAATATAATATCTGAAATGTTTGATTGTAACTGTGTAAACAAAGTGGATCTCAAACGTAAATACATTATGCTTTTAGAGGATAATATTTGATTTGCTAGTAACTTTTCAAATGCCTTCAAAATGATTTCCGTTTTACTATAATAACATTTTGAGGAAACAAATCACAAATACCCACAAGTTAATAATTATAGCAAATACGTATTTATCCTGTTGGTAATGGAGAAAACCAAACTGAAAATAGCTATAAAGCTGGGTTAGCATTATATTAGAGATGTTTTGTGTTCCAATCCATCAAGTTTGGACATTTTTTTATATTTTGATAAAGCTCGGTAAAGCATTACATTAGAGATTTTTTGTGTTTCAATCCATCAAGTTTGGACATTTTTTTATATTTTGATAAAGCTCGGTAAAGCATTACATTAGAGATGTTTTTGTGTTCCAATCCAACAAGTTTGGACATTTTTTTATATTTTGATAAAGCTCGGTAAAGCATTACATTAGAGATGTTTTTGTGTTCCAATCCATCAAGTTTGGACATTTTTTTTATTTCGAGAACTTCGAACTATAGCATATTATAATTTTCGAAATTGTTCTTTTTTATATTGAATAACTACTATCAAACGTGCAACGAAGATGGGACGTACTCTACAATATTTAAACATTTTATAACAGAGATACCAAAGTATCTAGTGATATAGATTCTGTAACCAGAATCATAATGGTGCCTGTTCTAGAAATAATTTTGAAATCGAAAATAAGTCATTTAAACAAAGTTGTAAGGGGCAACATTTCCACAGTTTTTATGTTCTTATATTTCACATTGATTCACAGTTTTCTAATCTTCAGGTCATAAAATTAAGTAAAAATAACGCATTCTTTATATAGCTTACAAATAGGCACGCCCCCAAGTGACACAGCGGTATGTCTGCGGACTTACAACACTAGAAACCGGGTTTCGATACCCGTGGAGGGCAGAGCACAGATGGCACATTGTGTAGCTTTGTGCTTAACTACAAACAAAAATAACGACGCAACATTTATAATTATTGGAACTGTTTATCAAGATTAACACTTACAGCACTGCTTCCATTAAAAATAAGCCGTTCCTAATTTTGAACTGATATACTGGAGGGTAAGCAGCGCCCACTGCTAACCAACCCTTGGGCTACTGTAATGGAATAGGGCGATTTTATTTACATCATTCTTATAATGCACATACAGATCCAACGAGCGAAACGCACCTTTGCGAGAATAAGACGTTAGCCATGGACCCTCGGATTTACAGTCTGGCACGCTAACCACTGGGCCACTCCCACCCGATATTCGATATTAAAAATAAATTTAATCTCCTGAACTGATTAAACTAGCATTTGAAAATCTTGTTAAAAACTTAATCTGATAAAATTGACGTGACTGAATGTAATTAACCTACTGTTTACTGTTTGTGAGAAATGTTTTTAAAAACGTACTAACAGTGGAATTCAGTATTGTTTTGGATTCGCTGAAATAATTAATCTCTCATCACATCTTGTGTTTCGAAGGTCTCGCTCAACTGGATCCAAAGTCCAGCGGGAAGATGGGATCGTATGCCCTATCATACTACTTTGCCACAACCATGTTAGCTGCTGTTGTTGGAATTATCCTAGTTTGTAGCATACATCCAGGGGACCCTTCAATCAAAGAAGAAGTGGGATCAGGCACTGAAGATAAGAGCGTGTCAACACTAGATGCCTTCCTGGACCTTATCAGGTGAGCTTCTAGTACACAACTGAATAGACACAAACTTAGGCTCAACGAAAGGCTTACCAAATCAACAATTTCTGTAGTCAAAAGCTACACATTTCAGTTACTTTTACTTAAGGATGTGATTTTAGTTACAGAGAAACACGGTTAATCACTACAAGTACATTATGAACTTTTTGATGGCAAGAGGAAACTAACCGATGCGTTAATATTAACTGAAATTCCTAAAAAAAACAAACAAACATGAATACTTGTTTGTTTGTTGTTAAGCACAAAACTACCCAATGGGCTTTCTCTACTTTACCCACCGAAATCGAAACCCAATTTTTAGGGTGATAAGCCTTACACTTGCCCTCGAGCCACCGGGGAACTTGCTTGGGAATCTCAGTAAGAATTAAGTATCACTTTAAAACCACCTTAACGGTGTGACTATTTTACATAATTTCACTCGTTTAACACAAGCTAAGCAAACTTTTTATACAATGTTTTAGTGTTAATATCACCGTATTGGGGCTTCTTATAAGACTATACCAAACACTTGTAGTATTATATTATCGTAATAATTAATAATAAATATTTAAGTGTAAAAGCCGATAAGTGAAAAAAAGACTCCGAGTCATGACTCCTGGCTAACGAGGATGGTGCAAAACACGCTGAACTACCCGAGAGAACAACTCATCTCCGTCATGTTCGATGCCTCTTACTGTAATTATGATCACCATTCTACGTTGTATTGTCAAACAGTTAGTGGGTTGATCTGTGCGATATTCTATATCAATTATTTCGAATTTTAAGCATAACCGTATCACATTATTTGTACGTCTAAATTTAACTTTTGTTTGTTGTTATTGTTCAGGAATATGTTCCCGGAAAATCTTCTGCAGGCTTGTTTCCAGCAGGTGGAAACTGTTTACTTAGAAGAGAAGGCAAAACCAAGTTTCATCCGGACAACAATGAACACGAGTAACGATACTTACTTCGACAATTTCACACAGGTTGTGGACGTAAGGCATCTTCAATACAAAGATGGAACAAACGTTTTGGGTATGAATATTCCACTCCTTTTAGCTAAAGACTCCATTTAAGAAATTATTACTTCACTAAATTAATTTTTTGAACTAGACAGATTTCTGTAAGTTTTATAAGATTGTGTTCAAACTAACATTGTTTTTTTTTTAGGCATAACACGCCATATTTCATTACTTAAAACGTAGTACATATTTTTAAAACTCATTTGTTTAAAATCGAGAATGAATCTTATAAAACAAGGTGATAAAGAATAAAGTAGTAATTGAAAATAATATTTTTTGTGCCGTTTCGTTCTTTGTCTGAAAGAGATTTTTTTCACTCGTTAATTTAATTCGTTTCTGTGTAAATTATCCTCACATTTCAAACACTATTCAATGTTGACCAAAAATCAGATACTAAATGTCAAATTTTCTCAAAGTTAATGTATGATTGGCTTCTAACTAGTGCCAGTTCAACAAATATTTAACACATTTTTTGTTTGTTTGTTTGTTGTTGTTTTTTCTAAATACATTTTAAATTTCATATAAGCAACGTATTTAATTTCTATTTTCTTAACTTTATTTTGTTTAGGATTGATCATTTTTTGTATCGCTTTTGGAATTATATGTGGACAAGTGGGACAAGAAGGAGAGATCATGGTGAATTTTTTCATAATCCTCAACGAGATTATCATGCGTATCGTTGTGTTGGTCATGTGGTAGGTTCATTTTAACTGACCACCTTGCTAGTAAAATGGTATAATTATTTGTGAGCCTCTTTGTTTACCTCATTACCATCTCTTGACAACAATGGAGAAACTGTTGAAACTCATTATTTTTTTATTTTTTATATCGTTAATATCCTAAGAATCTTGTGACAGATCACTTTAAAACATTTTTGTTAAGGTCTGATCTATAACGTATCCAGTTTATCTCCATAGTGCCAGCCTTAACAAAATCCTTGTTAAAAACCAATAAAGTTCTCTTGTAAGTATCCTAGTAAAGTTTCAATCAACATTTAATAAATGGATTCAACTGTGACTTGCAAGAAATTTTATAACTACCAGTAGAGGTTCTAAAAATAAAAAAGGAGGGGAATACATTCAATTCCTAAATAAAATATCTGAAAAAAATGGTTTTTATATTTATAATCGAGCTGAATATGTTGTTCAACTGACAGTCTTAAAGCATAGAAGGGTATCGTAAGAGTCATTTACTTTCTCTTTCTTTAATTAATGGACAAATAACACTCGAAGACCCCATACTATATAAAAACTATACTACAGGTATGAGGACGCTAAAAATCGGGTTTCGATACCCGTTGTGGGCAGAACACCGATAGCCTGCTTTGTGCTTTACAACAACCAAACCGAGTTTACTAGTTCGGTATTAAATTTCATAATGTCAAAAACTGCATAAGGATATGTAGACTGGAATCTCGTGACTTTTTTTTTATACAAACTGGGAAATTTCACGTGAATCTGACATCAAAAGTCAAACAAAAATTATAACTATTTCAATGTATAAATTTTGAAAACTCATTATCTTGCTACATATTTGGATAAATATCTAAAATATTTCAAACTGGCAAAGCTAGAAGTAACACATAAAATATTTGCATATTAAGTGTTTACCGAAATTTCTGAAATTGGGCATACACACGTGAATAATAAGACGCTCCCTTAATTTATTCCTATATTGCTATAGGCGTATAAGAAACAAAACATTGAGTCAAGTAAAGCAACATGTTATAGTCAAAACCTTTCAGAATTTTTCAAACATAATTACTACTAGCACAAGAAGACGTGTTCATGGAGTTTAATAACTTTGTTAGAAATCTAGAAACAGTGCTTGAATAAATCAACATGTCAAGTAAATCGTGATTGGCTCAGCAGAAGTTGCTAAGATTTTATTGATTGTTACAGCTGCTGCTGGCCATAGACTTGATTAAAATATATACAATAACAATAAACATGCAGTGCATACTGTAACTGGTTTACTAAAATTCATTTATTTTCTAACACTTTCCTAATGCAATCAAATGTAACAAAGTAGGGATATACAATTAGCAATATGTGCTTTACCTGTAAATAAATTGTATAATTATTATTATATTATATATGTCACCATGGCTTATAAGCTTTCCAAAGAAAATGGGAATTAAACAGAAATTATAATACAGTGGAAATTCCTATTTTGAAATTCAGATGGTAATACTGAATATTTTGTTAAATTGTTGTTTTGTATCTCGTTGTTAGTATTAATCACAATTACCACGTTGTCATTATTGGCCTTAGATTAGACTTAATTACTGACTTAGTTATCACATTCCAATCCTGTAGATATGCGTGGTATGTACTAACAATATTTTTATGTACAATAATAATAGAAATCATTGTTACTTTTGCCTTGAGAAATAAATAGCGAAGACCATGAACCACAATTATTTGTTTCTTTAATTTGTCAGCCACAAAATAATCAACAGATAACACCAAATAAAATCACGTGGTGAAAAGGAAACATTATATTTATTCCCATGATGCTTTATATTAAATGACAAAATTTCGCAAGTAGGAATGACCGACTGTATGTATACAAAACTATATTAAGTTAACATGTATCTAATGTTAATTAGATTAGTACGTGCATTACTTATGGTCAAAGCACTTTTCATTAAAAGGTCTTAATAACTGAGTATTTCAGTTTATAGCTAGCATTTGAGTATGTTTGTTTATGGTTTGGGCTAGATGTTGGAATGATAAATGATAATATTCGTACTTAGGATTTGTTGTTATAACTAATGTTGTCTACTGTCAGATGTTTCAGATTTTTGATAAATGGCATGGTTATTTATTAGATTTATCTAGAGCTGGTCACATAGTAGGTTTAATACTTGCGTCTACTGTTTTCATTATAATTTTTTTAATTGAATAAATGCGTTGATATAGAGTCAGAATATAGTCATGCATTAATTTCTATCTTGAAATATTGTTGGTCATGTGATATGTGGCAGGTTATGATATTGTTTGTTATGTGATTTTTTGTGACATAATATTGTTGGTCATGTGATATGTGGCAGGTTATAATATTGTTTATTATGTGATTTTTTGTGACATAACATTGGTGGTAATATGAATGATTACACTTTGTAATATTGTTAGTAATGTTTTACACTTTTGGGGCTTGATCTACTGTTAGTTAAATAATATGTAACATTGTTGCTTATGTGAAAAATTACACTTTGTAATATTGTATATATATGTTAAAGATTTCTTTCTTTTTCACCAGAGGTAATATTGTAATATTGTTAGTAATGTTTTACACCTTTGGGGCTTGATCTACTGTTAGTTATATAACTTGTAACATTGTTGCTTACGTGAAAAATTACACTTTGTAATATTGTATATATATGTTAAGTATTTCTTTCTTTTTCACCAGAGGTAATATTGTAATATTGTTAATAGCGTTTTACACTTTTGGGGCTTGATCTACTGTTAGTTGTATAACTTGTAACATTGTTTTCATATGGTAGACTTGTAGCTTGTTCTATTCTTGGCCACGTGCTAGATTTTTGGCTTGTTCTAGTGTTGGTCATGTGATAGGTTTATGGCTTGTTCATCTTTGGTAATGTGATAGTTTATCATATATTCTCCTATTGGTAATGCGATACAGTTTTAGCTTGTCCTATTGTTGGTCATGTGATAGGTTTATGGCTTGGTCATCTTTGGTAATGTGATAGTTTATCATATATTCTCCTATTGGTAATGCGATACAGTTTTAGCTTGTCCTATTGTTGGTCATGTGCTAGGATTTTGGCTTGTTCATCTTTGGTAATGTGATAGTTTATCATATATTCTCCTATTGGTAATTCGATACAGTTTTAGCTTGTCCTATTGTTGGTCATGTGCTAGGTTTATGGCTTGTTCATCTTTGGTAATGTGATAATTTATCATATATTCTCCTATTGGTAATGTGATACAGTTTTAGCTTGTCCTATTGTTGGTCATGTGATAGGTTTATGGTTTGTTCATCTTTGGTAATGTGATAGTTTATCATATATTCTCCTATTGGTAATGCGATACAGTTTTAGCTTGTCCTATTATTGGTCATGTGATAGGTTTATGGCTTGTTCATCTTTGGTAATGTTTATCATATATTCTCCTACTGGTAATGCGATACAGTTTTAGCTTGTCCTATTGTTGGTCATGTGCTAGGTTTATGGCTTGTTTACTGTTAATGATGTGATAAGTTTGCAGTTTAGTCTGCTTTTGGCCATGTGGCAGGTTTTTGCTTTTTTCTGTTGTTATTCATGTGATAGACTTTTAATTTGTACAATTGTTGGCTATGTGACAGACTCCTAAGTTGTACGACTGTTGGTCATGTGATAGACTATTAACTTGTACAATTTTTGGTCATGTGATAGGGTGTGGCTTACACTGATAATATTCGTGAAAAAAAAATGTGTGGCTTGTACTAATTTTAGTCGTGTGGTAGGTTCTCACTCATTCTGGTGTTGCTCATACAATGGTAACAATTGTACGGTGTATCATCTAACGTATGGTGTTGCTCATACGAATGGTAAAATTGTACGGTGTATCATCTAACGTATGGTGTTGCTCATACGAATGGTAGCAATTGTACGGTGTATCATCTAACGTATGGTGTTGCTCATACAATGGTAATAATTGTACGGTGTATCATCTAACGTATGGTGTTGCTCATACAATGGTAATAATTGTACTGTGTATCATCTAACGTATGGTGTTGCTCATACGAATGGTAGCAATTGTACGGTGTATCATCTAACGTATGGTGTTGCTCAGATTATTTCCAATCTATCTTTCGAGTTTTGGTTTATTTTAATGAAGTGATTTGTAAATGAAACTATAAAAAATAATAATCTAAGACTTTCTTTCTTTCAATGTTTTTTTTCTTTTCTTTTCGTTAATTTCTACATGTGATTTCCTGATGGTGAGATGTGACTTTCCATAGGTACTCCCCCTTCGGCATCATGTCACTGATTATCGGCAAGATTATGTCCATCAAAGATCTAGCCCTCACTGCCCAACAGCTAGGATTCTATATGTTGACAGTAATCACTGGCCTCGTGATCCATGCAATGATCACTCTACCTCTCATCTATTTCATCTTCACCAGGAAGAACCCGTTGACTTTCTTCAGAGGGATGCTGCAAGCATGGGTTACTGCTCTGGGCACTGCTTCAAGGTGAGACAGATACATCTACTAATTAATGTTCCTACTTACATTAGTTTTCCTATTTACCCTTCTACTATATTCTTCATTTATGTACCTACCAATTTAGCCATCTATGTCTTAGTATTAGAAAGAGAGGCAAAAGTGTTACCACATGACCATTGAGAATAAAAGTAGGTCTTACCATACGATTGCGAAGAGAACCAGAAGTAAGTCTTTACATAATTATGGTTAAGAAGGGTACTGGAAAAAGTCTTACACGTAGTCAGGAAATGTAATAGAATAATATAATGATACTTAAGTACTACAAAAATATGTTTGATATGAGCTTATTGTTGTTTGCAACAGCTAGCAAATATCTGCCCAAAAGGCCTACCAAAAGAGGAAAATCAAGAAAAATCTAAACGGACCCCCCCAGTGGCACAGTGGTATGTTTACAGACATACAACGCCATGAAACCTGGTTTCGATGCCCGTAGTTGGCAGAGCACAGATAGCCCAATGTGTAGCTTTGTACTTAAACTCCAAACAAAACAAAAAACAAAAACTAAACTGGAAATATTTTTAAGATAATATATCCTCTCATAGGAGGCCACCAAGAAAAACACATCTTATCACATAGAAGGACAAGTAGGAGGAGGACATCTTTACACATATTATATATACAAGTAAGGGAAGGATTACTTTTCACATGGAAGGCCACCAGGAAGAACACTTCTCACCACATAGGAGGACAAGTAGGAGGAAATCTTGACACATACCATATAGAAAAATAAGATAACGATTACTTTTTGCACGGGTGGACAACTAGGAAGAGGACATATTGCCATATATTTAGAAAAGTAAGAAAGAGTCTCTTACTATATGGGTGACAAAATAAACTGATCTCCTTCTACACAAATAAAGAATTAGGAAAAGAGCTTCTTCCATAAGACTGGGAAAGAGAATATAGAAACGTATTGCCCTTAATGAAGAATAGAAGTGGAAGGATCTTTTGTGCTACGATAAGAAAGATAAGCAGTAGAATATCTCAACAACCAAAAGCTTCTTGCATGACCAGTGATAACATTAGTATAAAATACACAAAATCCTAGCTAGCAATTTTTGGGAAAGCAATGCTCATTATAGGAAGTATGAACTGTAAGCAAAATAGACGTGCGATGAATTTCGTAGATCTGTTGTGCTTTATAGTATAATTTTATTGTTACAGTTATTCATGGATTGTGTTTGTACATTTGTTATGTTTCTATAACCAATATATGTATTTTCTTTGTGTATTACATTTCTTATAGATTTATGCTTAAGTTGTATCTTATGGTCATCTGATTTTCTTTTTTTTTTCAGTGCTGCAACACTCCCTATAACTTTCCGTTGCTTGGAGGAGAACAACAATATCGATAAGCGCGTGACTCGCTTCATTCTGCCGATAGGGGCTACCGTGAACATGGATGGTACTGCCCTCTATGAGGCTGTTGCAGCACTTTTTATTGCACAAATGAACGGAATAAGTCTCAGTGTTGGACAGATTATCGCTGTGAGGTAAAACATAATTGTAACTTCTGATATATGTACAACAATAACACATATAAATGTTTTAGAAATTTATGGAATTAATAAACATTCTATGCCGATTTCGTCTATGGATTAAAATCAGAGTATTTCAAATTTCCAGAAACTTTGTTCAATCGTTTTTGTTATTTTGTTTTTATCATATAAAGTGTAGAGCATGTTTAGCGGCATATCGTGGCTCGAACCTTTGACCTTCTGATCCTCAGTCTAGTACGATAGCCATTAAGCCATGTCCATCTATTTTTATAAGATAATTCCTTTACATTGTATTTTAAGTATTTTATCCGGTTTGCCATTTTAACAGCAAGCAATTTCACATTTCACGTGCTCACATTTCAAATGATTTTATCTACACAGAGGATATGTCTATATTGAAAAGCTATGTTTACACATTAGACTGTAATGTAGTTGGTAGAACAAGTTTTTACTTTTTGTGAAAACAAAAAGGAGTTAACCAAATGCTCAACTCAAACTATTGGGATGCTCCCTTTTTTCAGCTTGACAGCCACAGCAGCTAGTATAGGAGCCGCTAGTGTCCCCAGTGCTGGGCTGGTTACCATGTTGTTGGTGCTGTCTGCGGTTGGACTTCCAACAAATGACATCTCTATGATTGTTGCTGTTGACTGGTTACTGTAAGTAGCCTCTAACAATAAAACTTAAAATCTTAGTTTATCTAAAACTCTTGATTAAAGTTAATAGTAGTCATACGTACTTAACAGAAAGTACTGAACAGTCAAAGATGACAGAGAATATAAAAAAAACACTGTAGAAGTACTATTAAACACCAACAATACAAAATACTGAGAAGAAAGTAGTACAATGTCTTTAGTGAACACAAGCAACACAAAATTCTGTGGAGTTAATAGTGATAAGAAACAACACAGACAATACTGTAGAAGGTCAGTGAACGTAGACAACACAGACAGTGCTATAGAACTTCGGGTAAACATTGACAACACAGACAGTACTATAGAAGTTCAATGAACAAAAACAACACAGATAGTGCTATAGAACTTCGGGTAAACATTGATAACACAGACAGTACTACAGAAGTTCAATGAACATGTACAACTCAAATAGTGCTATAAAAGTTCAATGAACATAGACAACACAAATAGTGCTATAGAGCTTTGGGTAAACACTGACAACACAGACAGTACTACAGAAGTTCAATGAACTTAGACAACTCAAATAGTGCTATAGAACTTTGGGTAAACACTGACAACACAGACAGTACTACAGAAGTTCAATGAACATAGACAACACAAATAGTGCTATAGAGCCTTGGGTAAACACTGACAACACAGACAGTACTACAGAAGTTCAATGAACATAGAAACACAAATAGTGCTATAGAACTTTGGGTAAACACTGACAACACAGACAGTACTATAGAAGTTCAATGAACATAAGCGACACCAATAGTGCTGTAAAACTTCTAGTAAACATTGACAACACAGACAGTACTATAAAAGTTCAATGAACATAGACAACACAAATAGTGCTATAGAGCTTCGGGTAAACACTGACAACACAGACAGTACTATAGAATTTCAAGTGAACATAGTCGGCGCAGAATACATTGTAAGTGGACTGAGATAATTTTATAATTAGACTATGCTAAAGAATGGCTACTGAAGACAAAAATAAGTGCCCTGTTTCTTAGAGCAAACACACGAAAAAACGCTGCTAGTGCCTTTCTAAGTCATGTAAATTGCAAACATATTCAAAGTCAGTATATCATTTATGAATGAACATAAACTAACTGTCTTATTAAAATTAAAATAATTTAAAGTATATCATACGTTGATGAAGAAAAATGGAGAGTAATATTTAATTTGATATATTCAATACTACCGGCTTTGGTTCAAATGTTGCATCGTCTTGAGTAATGTTAAGGCTGTTTTTCCTGTTTTACAACAGTCAGTGTAAGGAATGACCA